GTATCTCGCACGCCTTATTTGGATGAGTAAATCTCAAGTTATGGCTCAAACAATCAGAGCTACGCCCTGAAGAACGAACCTGCGGACTGCTCTCCTCCTTCCTCCTCTCTTGGGTTGTGTGGATTCCCTTGCTCTCTTATCTCTTTGGGGGTTCGAATGGGGTGTATGGGGAGTGTATTAGGAGCCCCTAAACATGCCAAAAGAGTATGTGGCTCACAAAAGAACATGGGAGATATTTGGTTTGCAATCAAATATGGGGTGGACCTCCCCCTTTTGTTTTCTCTTGGAGTTTATGTGCATGTGAGCCAAGAGTCCGCCCCATATGGTCTTCTCACCTCTTTTCACTTGTTTTGCAGGTACTAAGTCCATGTGGAATGGTTCCCAATTGATCCCGATCATTTTGGGGATCCAAATTATCTACCAATACATCCAAAAATGGGGAAGATGGGTCCTATTGTTTTATCTTTGTCAAAAGATGTCTTTTTGTACTCATCCTAATTTATTTAGAACAAGTCAACTTCTTAAATCACATTATTGATCTCCAATATGTGTAGGCTCATCCCAATAATTTACTTGATGAATATTATAGAAGGAAAATCCTACTCCCATTATTTAGCTCAATAAGGCCCAAGGTGGGGTTATAGGCATTTGTATTCTTCCTTAATCATTCAATCACTTATTTGACATTTGTCATACGTATTATTGAGCTACTAGCCGTGTGGGTCACTCCCGAGTGGGTTTAGAACGCCATTCTCGAACACTTGCTATTTTTAGCAGGTTGGCCCAAAATAATGTTTGGGCCACCCGACCTTCCTCAAATTGTCTTGAAGGATTATGTATCACTATTTAGGTAATGTTGGGCTCTTTTATTTATTAATAAGTCCCGAATAAGTATTTGCAAAACCCGACACTAATGTACGAGTTTGAACAGTACGATATTCAACCATGCACTACGTAGAACATTAATCGTTTTACAGTTGTTTGGAGTCGGAAATTCGATACATATATTTGAATTTAAATTGAATTTTCAAGGACGTTCGGGTGCGGTGTCACAAGTTCACCCCCCCTTAACAGGAATTTCGTCCCCGAAATTCACAGCTCTACTCGAATAGAGAAGCGTACTGCTTCCTCATCAAGGCCTCTGTTTCCCATGTCTCTTCTTCGACCCGATCGCTCTTCCAAAGGACTTTAACCATTGGGACTTCTTTGCTCATCAGTTTCTTCACCTTTCTATCGGTGACCTTGATTGGTTGCACAGCGTAGTTCAAATCCTCACGTACCTCTACAGGCGGCTTTTCCAATACGTGGGAGGGATCATGTACATACTTCTTAAGCATGGATACATGAAACACATTATGTATCTTCTCTAATTCAGGAGTCAACTGTAGACGATATGCAACGGCCCCAATCCTCTCTATAATTCTGAATGGACCTATGTATCGTGGGTTAAGCTTTCCTCGGGTTTGGAATCGAATGATTCCTTTCCAAGGAGAAACTTTCAAGAATACCTCGTCCTCAACCTTAAACTCTAAGGTTCTTCGACGCTTATCTGCATAACTCTTTTGTCTATCCTGAGCCACTTTGAGTCTCTCTCGAATCAACTTCACCCTTGATTTGGTGATCTCAACCAACTCAGTACCCTCGAGTTTGGCCATGCCAACCTCGTCTCAGCATAACGGTGTACGACACCTCCTCCCATACAATGCTTCATATGGAGGCATGCCGATACTTGCCTGCTAAGTGGTTGTCCCAACTTCCTTGGAACTCTAACGCACAAGCCCTCAACATATCCTCTAAGATCTGTATAACCCTTTCAGACTGCCCATCCGTCTGTGGATGGAAAGCAGTACTGAACTTCAACCTCGTTCCCATAGACTCCTGGAATTTCGGCCAAAACGTGATGTGAATCGTGGGTCTCTATCGGATACAATGGTCACTGGGACCCCATGCAGCCTCACGGTCTCATCCGTATACAATTTGGCTAACCTCTCAAGTGGGTAGGTAGTGTTGATAGGCAAGAAGTGTGCACTCTTCGTGAGCCTATCCACAACAACCCAAACTGCATCATAGTTCCGAATTGTCCGTGGTAAACCTACCACGAAATCCATAGTCGCATGTTCCCACTTCCATTCAAGAATGGAAAGTGGTTGTAACAAGCCTGCTGGATGCTGATGTTCTGCCTTAACTTGCTGACAAGTAAGGCATTGTCTAATGTATTCAGCTATTTCCCTCTTCATACCAGACCACCAGTAACTTTCTTTCAAATCACGATACATTTTCGTGCCCCCCGGGTGCATGGCATAAGCCGATGAATGAGCCTCCTCTAAGATGGACTTTCAGAGCTCATCATCTGACGGTACACACACTAGGTCACGAAATAACAAGAGACTATCATCTCTTTCCCTGAAATCCTCCACCGGTCCTGCTTGCATGCGTTCCCGGGCCTTTATAAGTTCTACGTCAGTCTCTTGACCCTTCTTGATCTCATCAAGTAAGGTCGGCTCACCTCGAATCATGCCAATAAGGCACCGTCGCTAGATACATCCAATTGGGCCCTCAGTGCCCTCAAACTAGTCAACAATGCCCCAGACGAACTCTTCCGACTGAGGGCATCTGCTACAACGTTTGCCTTACCTGGATGGTACTCAATAACTAGATGGTAGTCCTTTATCAACTCCATCCACCGTCTCTGTCTCATGTTTAACTATTTCTGAGTAAACACGTACTTCAAGCTCTTATGATCAGTATATATGTGACATGTCTCTCCGTAGAGATAATGTCTCCAATTCTTCAGTGCAAATACTACTGCTCCCAGCTCCAGATCATGGGTAGGATAATTTTACCTCATGCTTCTTCAACTGTCGTGAAGCATAGGCAGTTACCCTTCCCTCCTGCATCAACACACACCCAAACCCTTGGATGCTCGCGTCACTATAGACATCGTACCCCACACCCTGTTTGGGTAATGCAAGTACCGGTGCCTCGGTCAATCTCTTCTTCAGTTCGATGAATCCTTTCTCACATTTGTCATCCCATATAAACTTAGCTCCCTTTCGAGTGAGCTTCGTCAATGGCGATGCCAAAACTGAGAACTTCTCCACGAATTATCTGTAGTAACCCGCTAGCCCGAGGAAACTTCGAATCTCCTTCACGTTCTTAGGTCTTTCCCATTATGTGATAGCCCCAATCTTCTTGTTATCCACGGCAATGCCTGACTCAGAAACTACATGCCCAAGAAAGCCAATCTCTTTAAGCCAAAACTCGCACTTAGAGAACTTGGCGCAAAATTGCTTCTCTCTTAGTGTTTCAAGATCCAGGACCAAGTGCCGCTCATGTTCTTCTTCACTCCTTGAGTAAATTAAGATGTCATATATGAACACAATCACAAATCGGTCCAAGTATTTATAAAATACTCGGTTCATCAAGTCCATGGATGCCGCTGGGGCGTTTGTTAACCCAAACGACATAACAAGGAATTCAAAGTGCCCATACCTTGTGCGAAAAGCACTTTTTGGTATGTCATCTTCCTTAATCTTCAGTTGATGGTAACCCGACCTCAAGTCAATCTTTGAAAACACAGTCGCCCCTTGTAGTTGATCAAACAAGTCATCAATCCTAGGCAAGGGATACCTATTCTTGATTGTGACCTTGTTCAGTTGACGATAGTCAATACACATTCGAAGTGTCCCATCTTTCTTTTTCACAAAAAGAACTGGTGCTCCCCACGGGGAGTGGCTTGGTCTAATGAAACCATTATCCAAAAGCTCTTGCAATTGGGTTTTCAACTCGTTAAGTTCAGCGGGTGCCATACGGTATGGCAGTATGGAGATTGGTTTGGTACCAGGCTCGACCTCGATCACAAATTCAATCTCCCTATCAGGTGGAAGCCCCGGTAGGTCTTTAGGGAAGACATCCGGATACTTACAAACCACCCTCACATCATCGATGTTCGTTTCCTCTTTGGTTTTGTCAACCACGTATGCTCGATATGCGTGGCATCCCTTTCTCATCATACTTCTCGCTCTCACGGCGGATATGATACAGCTATTTGATCTCCCTCGATCGCCCTCGAAGCGTAGGGTCTCCCCATCATTGCCTTCGAGTTTAAGAACCTTCGTGTAGCAATCTACCCTAGCATGGTTCCTTTCTAGCCAATCCATCCCTAGGATTGCATCGAATTCAATCATGCTCAGCGGTACGAAGTCACACGTCAAGGTTTGACCATTAACTTCCACCCCACAAGATGGATAGTAACGAGTTCTTTCCACGTCATCCCCTAGTGGTGTTGATACCACTAAGGTTTGCATCAATGGTGCGGATTGCACTTCCAAACTCTTGGCGAACGCTTCATTCACAAATGAACGTTGCGCCCCGGTATCGATAAGGATTCGCGCATCCTTCCCATTAATCTTTAGTGTCCCTACATTCATGAACCATGTAAGACATCTTTCCTACCCTCCCTACTCATTTAGAGAGGTTTATTATGTTCACACACATGTTTTGGATCAAGAACGGGTCTTAACGTTGCAATACGGCGCGAAAAAGTCGACTTTGGGCTGTCCAGGAGGTACGCACGGCGTGCCTAGGAGGCACGCACGGCGTGCCTAGGAGGCACGCACGGCGTGCGTGTCTTATAACCTCAAAACGGAGCTACTGCCACTAACGCACGGACCAACGCACGGACAACGCACGTCCGTGCGTATAGCAATTTCTTCCCGGTTGCTACTGCCACCAACGCACGGACCAACGCACGGACAACGCACGGCCGTGCGTATAGCAATTTCTTCCCGGGTTGCTACTGCCACCAACGCACGGACCAACGCACGGACAACGCACGGCCGTGCGTATGGTCCAGCCTGGTGTGCGTTGGCGGAAATCAGCCGTCTTTCGCCCGATTTCGCTCCGTTTGATCCCAAAATTTCGTGCAATGATCCCAACGATTAGTAACCTTAATTTATGGACTAATTAAGGATAAAACATTAGTATACGAGAGGCAATACCTGCAACGGAATCCGGGTTAGCTTGAGCATCCGCCTCTGTCATCGCATAGACCCTAGCTTGGGTCCTTCCTTGGTTCACGGATGGCGCGTTGCTCGTGCTTGCTCCCCCATGTCCCCTGCTCCCTTGAGAAACCTCGGTTTGGTTTTCATTTCTTGTAGTTCCACCACTTGACCCCGAAGTTTGGTTTTGCACAATTTGTGGGCAACTCACTCTCGTGTGCCCGACCTCTGTGCATTGATAGCACCTGGGAGGGTCCTGACACTTACCCGAGTGGTGTTTCTTGCAATTGTTGCACTTAGGTACCCTCGGACCTTTTGACCTCGAGTTCGGGCCACCTAAGCCTCGACTCCACTCAAGTGATAGTGTCTGCGCCCTGAAGGTTTTGTCACCCTCAACGTTTGTCCTCCTTGAATGTCTTTGGGAATCGTTGTCTCCCCGCTTCCTTTTCCTTACTAATGGTATGCCCTCAGCTTGCCTAGCTTGGCGTTTTTGTATAAGCCTCACACGTTCACGTTGAAGCCAATCTATGACCATGCCCATTTGTTCAATGGGTGCACCATCAAGGTCCTCATCACTCAAATCATCTCCTTCGTCACCCGAAGCCTTGAGTGGTTCAGTTTTGCCATAACAAGGTGATTCTTCCTTGGTCTTAACATGAACACCACTCACGATTTGAGCTTCAAGAGTTTCGTGCACCTTTGGTCCTAAGGGCTTTTCTCGGTTGGCATGCCCGGTTCCACCCGGTGCAAACCCTTCCGAGTTCTCCCTATTCATAATACCACCATCACCCTCCATCGCTGAAAGAAATAATTAGAATGAGTCATTAGACTCGTTTCAAATGTCAACTGACAGATAGGCACTTAAGACATCTCTTGGGCCAAGTCACCGCCATACCAATCGTTAAGGGCGCCATCTTAACAATTAGAGACCTTGCAACTCAAACACCAAAAGTTCTTAAGTACAAAACGTTTTTGCTCATGGTTTTCAAAAATCATTTTGAAAAGAGAATTTTGAGACTTCATTATGAAGTTTATGGACTAAGGCTCTGATACCAACTTAATTGTCACGCCCCGGACCTATCCGGACACGTCAACAACCCGCCGTACAATACGAATAGTCAACCGCAGTCCAACACATTCATATTATACAAGGCGTCTTGAATATCATTCACACATATACATCCATAAACAAACATAATAAGTAATTCATAACGCAGCGGAAACATTGTTTAAAACAAAAGGGCCACACAAGGCATTTCATGAGCACGCAGGCTCCATAGTAAAATATCCATGAGCATGTTTAGAAAGGTTTAAAAACAGAATGGAGGAAGCACGAACCAAGTCTTCCCTCCTATATGATCTCTCGAGCAACGAGCACAGGAAGCAAGCTCTAGCCTCAACCTGAAAAATGGTGGTGGGACGCCCCCGAAGGGGTCAGCACTCTATAGGGCTATAAAGTGCTGGTGTGGCAGGCATCTAATAGATATACAACAAGTATTTCACACACAAGACCCTCAAATAGGGTGATAATATAGTATAGGCCGTAATCCCAGATTACCCCTTTCAAAATACATACTTACTTTATATAAAGTCAAGTAGTCGGCTCAAAGGCCCATGTTTGTTATAAAACATTTTCCAAAACCCCGTGACTAATGGTCACGACATACGTAGGGTCCAACCCTAATACAACTTCTCATTTCTAGAGTTCGGCTCGAGTACATCATCATGCACTCGCATCATAGATCTCCTACTTCATATAATCATATCATAGATCTCCTACTTCATATAATCACACCATAGATCTCCTACTTCATAAAACCACACCATAGATCTCCTACTTCATAAAACCACACCATAGATCTCCTACTTCATAAAACCACACCATAGATCTCCTACTTCATAAAACCACACCATAGATCTCCTACTTCATAAAACCACACCATAGATCTCCTACTTCATAAAACCACACCATAGATCTCCTACTCCATGATTTCCCAATTGACACTTGAATCTCATTCAAGTTCATCACAAACAAACTCAACCTTTAAGTTTGGTTCTATCAACATTTAGAACAATCCTTAACTAGCATCACAATACTATTAAGATTATTCCTACAACTCATTTATCATTAATGGTAGCCCCTCCATATCAATAGATATGTGGCAGCCTCCCATGTGCTAAGCATCATCATGCAATCATACATTTACATACACATAACATTCATACATGAGTTGGAAGGTCAATTTACCATTTTAGCATACTTTTATCTCACATGACTCCATATTCATCAATATGGTTTCAATTTATGATCAAGTCCATTACTTATCATTCATATCATGTTCAAGCATATTTATTCACAAAAACATGATTTAAGCATTTAGGTAATCTCATGCATAACCTACAAGTTGTAAGCAACTAGATGTCGGTCCTCACCTCAAATGTGCTTTAAAACCTTCCTTCTCGCTCCAACGACCAAAGCCTCGGCCAAGAAGGTTTGAGAACTGATTCCTTGCTTGGAATTGAGTGTTAAACAGCCCCCTCAAAGTGCTAGTTCAACTCCTAACCGAAAATGCAAAAACAGTCCCTAGAACGAGTGTTTCCCGACGAATTCGTTCCCTAACCTTTCAAGGTTTTGTCTAGGTTAGTATCTAACCTTTCCAACAATTAAAGTCACATAATAATAACATTTTATACACTTCAATCAGTGTATAATAGTTCTTCAATCATTTATATGATTTAGACAATAGAGAGGAAGGTTTTGGATTCAAACTTACTTTGAATACAAAAACGTATTCTGCGAGGTCGTGTTTTGCTCGGTCGATTTGGAAGCCTTCCACTACTCCGATTGATGCAAACCAGACCTTCACGGATTCCTAGTCTTGAGAGCTTTCTGTTGGTATCTCGCACGCCTTATTTGGATGAGTAAATCTCAAGTTATGGCTCAAACAATCAGAGCTACGCCCTGAAGAACGAACCTGCGGACTGCTCTCCTCCTTCCTCCTCTCTTGGGTTGTGTGGATTCCCTTGCTCTCTTATCTCTTTGGGGGTTCGAATGGGGTGTATGGGGAGTGTATTAGGAGCCCCTAAACATGCCAAAAGAGTATGTGGCTCACAAAAGAACATGGGAGATATTTGGTTTGCAATCAAATATGGGGTGGACCTCCCCCTTTTGTTTTCTCTTGGAGTTTATGTGCATGTGAGCCAAGAGTCCGCCCCATATGGTCTTCTCACCTCTTTTCACTTGTTTTGCAGGTACTAAGTCCATGTGGAATGGTTCCCAATTGATCCCGATCATTTTGGGGATCCAAATTATCTACCAATACATCCAAAAATGGGGAAGATGGGTCCTATTGTTTTATCTTTGTCAAAAGATGTCTTTTTGTACTCATCCTAATTTATTTAGAACAAGTCAACTTCTTAAATCACATTATTGATCTCCAATATGTGTAGGCTCATCCCAATAATTTACTTGATGAATATTATAGAAGGAAAATCCTACTCCCATTATTTAGCTCAATAAGGCCCAAGGTGGGGTTATAGGCATTTGTATTCTTCCTTAATCATTCAATCACTTATTTGACATTTGTCATACGTATTATTGAGCTACTAGCCGTGTGGGTCACTCCCGAGTGGGTTTAGAACGCCATTCTCGAACACTTGCTATTTTTAGCAGGTTGGCCCAAAATAATGTTTGGGCCACCCGACCTTCCTCAAATTGTCTTGAAGGATTATGTATCACTATTTAGGTAATGTTGGGCTCTTTTATTTATTAATAAGTCCCGAATAAGTATTTGCAAAACCCGACACTAATGTACGAGTTTGAACAGTACGATATTCAACCATGCACTACGTAGAACATTAATCGTTTTACAGTTGTTTGGAGTCGGAAATTCGATACATATATTTGAATTTAAATTGAATTTTCAAGGACGTTCGGGTGCGGTGTCACAGAGAATGCCTTTTTGGCATTTCTCCCAATAATAACATGGGTGAGGTCCACTTCCTTTGTTGATTGGTCTTCCAATCAATTCCATCTTGCTCCTTCACAGTATTGTGCGGCTCCTCTTGCTCTTTGCAAGACCAAAATACGTGGGGTGGCCCCCACATATGTGGGAGGTCATCCCTTTGTGTCCCCAAGTGTACACTTGGTCCCGAAAGTTGTATTTTCCGGACTGTTTTAACTATATTTCGTTTTATCGGGTAAAATGAAATATCTATCATTCTTCCAATTATTATTGGTTATGAGAATGAATGTACATCCCCAACTTTTAATTTGATGGTTTCCATAATTTATTATGGCTTTTTATCTGATATTACTTCGGTACCGATAAATGGGCTTCATATGCCCAACAGGTTACTCACATGATTCCTATGGCCCAACCAGGCTATCCACCATTATACACATATCATCTTGACCCAAATGAATATAATATGTGGTCCCGATAATATCGGGCGGCCCCCACTTCCGGTGTGGGCCCCACGTGAATTTTACTATTCACGTAAAAGGAATGATAAACATTTACAATTACGAAAAATGCATTTATTCATTTCCCAGAGTTCAATACATAATTCGGTAAAGTACAAATACTTGGGGGCGGTGTTACAAGTTCTACCCCCCTTATTTGGGATTTCGTCCCCGAAATCCACGTTTCTAGTCAAACAGAAATGGATACTGTTCCCTCATCAGGGTCTCCACTTCCCAAGTTTGCTCCTCGACACGATCGCTCTTCCAAAGCACCTTCACCATCGGTACCTCTTTACTCCTTAGCTTCTTTACCTGTCGGTCCATGATCTCTACCGGCTGCACCGCATAGTGAAGGTCTTCCCGGATTTCTACCGGTGGTTTCTCAAGAATATGTGACGGGTCCCGTACATACTTCTTGAGCATGGAAACATGAAATACGTTATGAATCTTTTCTAATTCTGGAGTTAACTGAAGTCGGTACGCTACAACCCCAATTCTTTCGATGATTTTGAATGGGCCTATGTAGCGTGGGTTAAGCTTACCCCGACTGAGGAACCTGATGATCCCTTTCCAAGGTGACACCCTCAGAAATACCTCATCGCCGACCTCGAACTCTAACGTTCTTCGTCGTTTATCTGCATAGCTCTTCTGCCGATCTTGGGCAGCCTTGAGTCTATCCTGAATAACCCTCACCTTCTCCTTGGTGATTTCGACTAGCTCGACGCCCTCAAGCTTAGCCTCGCCTACCTCATCCCAACACAAAGGTGTCCGACATTTCCTCCCATACAATGCCTCGTATGGAGGCATGCCTATACTTGCTTGATAACTGTTGTTATAAGCAAATTCCACCAAAGCCAACTGGTTGTCCCAACTTCCTTGGAACTCTAAGGCACATGCCCTCAACATGTCCTCCAAAATCTGAATCACTCGTTCAGATTGCCCATCCGTTTGAGGATGGAATGCCGTGCTAAACCTCAACTTTGTTCCCATGGATTCTTGGAACTTAGGCCAGAACCGTGATGTGAACCGTGGGTCTCTATCCGACACTATAGTGACCGGGACCCCATGCAGTCTCACGATCTCGTCAGTATACAACTTGGCCAGTCGCTCAAGAGTATAAGTAGTGTTGATAGGTAGAAAATGGGCACTCTTGGTCAACCTATCAACTACCACCCATACCGCGTCAAAGTTCCTAACCGTTCGTGGCAAACCTACCACGAAGTCCATAGTAACATGCTCCCACTTCCATTCTGGGATGGTAAGTGGCTGTAATAACCCTGCCGGGTGTTGGTGCTCTGCCTTAACCTGCTGACAGGTAAGGCAACGACTCACATAATCAGCAATCTCTCTCTTCATCCCCGACCACCAGTAACTTTCTTTCAAGTCCCGGTACATCTTTGTTCCACCTGGGTGCATGGCATACGCAGATGAGTGAGCCTCCTCAAGAATAGATTTCCGGAGCTCCTCATCTGACGGCACACACACTCGCTCCTTGAATAGTAGGAGTCCATCTTCTCTCTCACGGAAACCCTCGACGGGTCCCACCAGCATCCGTTCCCGGATTTTCTGAATTTCCTCGTCATTGCCTTGACGCGTTCTGATTTCGTCTAATAGGGTGGGTCTCACCTCAAATCTGGCCAATAGAGCCCCATTCGTGGATACTTCCACATGTGCCCTCAATGCTTGTAAGCATGTGAGTAAAACTCCTGATGAACTTTTCCTACTGAGAGCATCAGCAACCACGTTAGCCCTACCTGGATGATAGTCAATAATCAAGTTGTAATCCTTGATTAACTCCATCCACCTTCTTTGCCTCATGTTCAACTCTTTCTGAGTGAACATGTACTTCAAACTCTTGTGATCAGTATAGATGTGACACTCCTCACCGTAGAGGTAATGCCTCCAAATCTTCAAAGCAAACACCACAGCTCCTAGCTCAAGGTCATGTGTGGGATAATTCACTTCATGCTTCCTCAGTTGCCGAGAAGCATAAGCAATTACCTTCCCCGATTGCATCAGTACGCACCCAAGCCCCTGGATGCTAGCATCGCTATAGATGTCATACCCCAACCCTTGCACGGGTAGGGCAAGTACTGGTGCTTCAGTCAATCGTTTCTTTAGCTCAAGAAACCCCTTCTCACACTTGTCATCCCACACAAACTTAGCTCCCTTTTTAGTGAGCTTCGTGAGCGGAGATGCTATTACTGAAAACTTCTCCACGAATTTGCGGTAATACCCCGCTAAACCGAGGAAACTCCTTATTTCCTTCACATTCTTGGGCCTCTCCCAATTAGTGACTGCTTCAATCTTCGAGTTATCAACTGAAATGCCCGAGCCCGATACCACATGCCCGAGAAATCCGATCTCCCCAAGCCAAAATTCACATTTAGAGAATTTGGCAAAGAGTTGCTTCTCCCGCAGTGTTTCAAGCACGAGCCTTAGATGTTTCTCGTGTTCCTCTTCGTTCTTGGAGTATATCAAAATGTCATCAATGAACACTATGACGAATTGGTCCAAGTATTGATGAAATACTCGGTTCATGAGGTCCATGAACGCCGCGGGGGCATTTGTAAGCCCAAACGACATCACTAGGAACTCGTAGTGACCATACCTTGTACGGAATGCACTCTTGGGTATGTCACTCTCCTTGATCTTCAGTTGATGGTAGCCCGACCTCAAGTCAATCTTGGAGAACACGGTTGCCCCTCGTAATTGATCAAACAAGTCGTCAATCCTTGGCAAAGGGTATTTGTTCTTTACCGTGACCCTGTTCAATTGACGGTAGTCGATACACATTCTCATTGTACCATCCTTCTTCTTTACAAAGAGTACGGGTGCTCCCCATGGTGAATGACTCGGTCTAATGAACCCGTTATCTAGTAACTCTTCCAATTGAACTTTCAACTCTTGAAGTTCAGCCGGCGCCATTCGATACAGAGGAATTGAGATGGGTTTGGTGCCTGGTTCAACCTCGATCTCGAACTCGATCTCCCGATCGGGTGGGAGTCCCGGTAGCTCTTCAGGAAACACCTCCGGATACTCTCTCACCACCCTCACTTCTGTGAGACTCTTCCCCTTGCCTTCCTTGCCTATGACATAGGCTAAGTAAGCGGGACATCCCTTCCCCATCATACGCTTTGCTCTTATGGCCGATATGATGCAAGGATTGAATCTTTCTCTATCTCCCTTGAAACATAGAGTATTTCCCTCACCATCCTTGAGTTCTAACACCTTAGTGTAGCAATCCACTTTTGCATGGTGCTTTTCAAGCCAGTCCATGCCAAGTATGGCATCAAACTCAAGCATGGCTAACGGTACGAAGTCACCCTTTAGACAGTGCTCCCCTATCTCCACATCACATGAAGGATAGTAGTCATTTCGTTCAACGTCATCCCCTAGAGGCGTAGATACCAAAAGGGTTTTCATCATTGGTATTAAAGGTGTGCCTAACCCCACGGCAAACACCTCACTAACGAATGAACGTTGTGCTCCCGTATCGATAAGGATCCTCGCATCCCTTCCATTAATCTTTAACGTTCCTACAATTATAAGTCATGTAAGGTACCTTGCCTACCTAAATTGAACTGTAGGCCCCGAAAAAGTC